CGGGCCATGTAAGTGTACACCGCTGCTGGTTGTTCTCGTTCTGGCCCGCAGTAGTCAACCTGTCGCTGGTGCCACATTTTTTTCTGTTTTTCCAGTTGGGTGAGGTTGACTATTGCGTGCCATGTCAGTGTTTACCAATGCTGGTTGTTGTCCCGATGGCCCGCAGTAGCCAACTGCCCTCTAACGCAGTGTATGTCTGCCTGTATGGGCGAGGTTGACTACTGCGGGCCATGTAAGTGTACACCGCTGCTGGTTGTTCTCGTTCTGGCCCGCAGTAGTCAACCTCGCGCTGGTGCCACATTTTTTATTTTTTTTTCCAGCTGGGTGAGGTTGACTACTGCGTGCCATGTCAGTGTGTACCGATGCTGGTTGTTGTCCCAACGGCCCGCCGTAGCCAACCGCCCTCTAACGCAGTGTATGTCTGCCTGAGAGAGAGAGAGGTTGACTGCGGGCCATGTAAGTGCACACCGCTGCTGGTTGTTCTCGTTCTGGCCCGCAATACTCAACCTCTCTCTCTCTCTCTCTCTCTCTCTCTCTCATCTCACTCTCTCTCTCTCTCTCTCTCTCTCTCTCTCTCTCTCTGGTGAGGGGGCCACGTCGCTGCTAGGGCTCCTCATAAGTGTTTGTGATGTGTCATGCAATAGATGGAGCCTGCGATTCAATCGAATGTCAACGGCGTGGAGACATGCGCGATGGAGACCCAGGACATTGTCAAGGGTATCGCAGTTGTCAGCAACGAAGGGATATCGGCCGGAGCAAACACCACGGACTGTGAAGTGGTCCTTGCGGCAATTTGTGAGGAGACTGTAGACATGATGACGGATGGTGAGGCCAGTGAGAATGATGCAGGGTGTGTTGTTGCAGACGAGAATGTGATCAGGACGTCAGCAGGAACTCTCTTCCCCTATGACATCAATTGGGTGCCTGGTCGTCTTCAACCGGGTATCGTTGGAGGAGCGCCGTGCTTCGCGTTCAAAGTCAATGGGGAATGGGTTCCATATCACGCCCCCAAAGCGACGTCGTGGAGGGGCGTGACTCTGTCAATCATCTTCGACAGAGTGCTGAGGTTGAACGATGAGGTGAGCGCTGACGACAAATCGCGGCATGTGTTGAAACTRTGGCATGTTCTGGACGCGAAGGGCGAGTTGAGGCTCAATGATTTTGAGTACGACAGTATCGACTGCGGAGAGTCATGGGTGATTGGCGGGTTGGACACTACAGCGAGTTCGGTTTGCCCACAGACTGATGCCATGAGGGATCCACGGTGGGGTTGGGTGCCACATGACGCCCCGCTTCTTTGTGGCCGTGTGAAGGTGCCGACGCGTGATGCCATGGGGAATGTATGGACCACGTGTTATATAAACGGCAGCTTCTCATCTAGGCACCTTAACAGGGAGGTGACTGAAGAGGAGAAGATGGTGATGGCTTGTCCCACCCCTGCTGCTCGTTGTTTTTCGCCGCCTCTTCGGAACCCTGTGGAGCTCGAGGTGGCAGAGGGGAAAGTGTTCGCGGATGACCATGGGTACACATACATGCATGCCAGAGGGGAGGACGCTACTGCTGATGGAATAACCACGCTGGTATGGGACCCATTCAACCTGAACCCTGACGTTTTGGCTGCCATAGACATTGCGGCCCATGTTATCCCTGAGGGGCAGTTCAAGTAGCATGTGGCCCCTCAGAGGTATGGATATCGTGTGAATTGGGTCCCAGGATGTCTGCAGCCGGCAACAGTTGATGGCAAGGTAACCATAGCAGCGAAACTGCAGATAGGTCATTGGCTGCCCTTGGGGTGGATGCATGCAGGCATGGTGGAGCAGTGGCAGTTCCTGGTGGTAGTGGCACGTGTCTCCATTTTCAATGCAGATGTGAAGGACCACGTGCTGGTTGTGGAGCATGCAAAGCGGTGCTGGGAAAAGATAAGGGAGGAGGACCGTCAGATGGTGTGCATGGGTTGCGACTCTATGCCAGACCAGGGGATGTGGTCTATGGTTGAGGGGAGTCCTGGTGGGCAAGGGCAGGGCGATGGCGAGAACAGGTACATGGCTCACATCCGCCGCAGGCATGGTTGCTCCGCCCTTGTTGGTTGGGTCCCGGCCGTATGTCGCATGACATATAAGCAAGGTGGAGAGATGATGACGAGGTTCAGGGACCCGCTTGGTGTGCCGTTTCTGCTGACGTACTCGGATGGCCTCCTGCGAGACATTCGGTATATGGTGGCCGAGGACACCCGAGGTGGACATCGGAGGCCGGGACAGACGGAGGAGATGCGCCCGGGACATCAGGACGGTTTGTCTACTGAGGTGGAGGGCCCATGTGGCGGTGAGCGAGTTGCAGGGTGCTCTGCAGCGCAGGGTGACGTGGCCAGCAAGACAGCGATGTCCCACAGCTCGAGGAAGGTGAAGGCGGTTGTGTCGAGGCCGCGGAGGGGGAAGACGGCTGGTGACAAGCAAAAGAAGAACCCCCAGCCTGTGCCACAGAGCGGTAACAATGCAGATGCGCCTGCACGGGTCCACAGACGCCGAAAACACCCCGGGATGGCAGCTTTAACAGAGATTAGGAAGCTGCAACGATCCACCGACCTTTGTATCCCTTTCAGGCCCTTCTTGCGCGTTGTCCGCGAGGTGGTGGAGAAGGACATTACCCCTAATAAGGGTCTGAGGTTCCAGATGACGGCTGTGCGTGCTTTGATGGAGGCTGCGGAGGCTTACCTGGTCGCCAACTTCGAGAACACAAACGAAGTGGCGATCCACTCGAAGAGGGTGACCATCCAGGTGAGGGATATGAGGCTGGTGGATAGGTTGACAAAACCTCGCTGGGTGGAGAAATATCAGGGGATATTGGACGAGAGGGCTCGAGCTGAGGACAGGCAGCGACGGATGGATGCCAGACAGGCTAAGAGGGAACGCCGGGGAGCAGGCGCGAAGAAGAGAAAGCCACCGGCACTGAATCGTAGGGGGGGTGGCGCAAGAAAGAAGGCTGCATGAGAGACAGTGTGTGTGTGCTTTCGGAACGCTTGTCTTGTCTCTGTCTGTCATGCTTAATCTTCGTGGTGTGAGGCGAGTTGATTAGGTGCAGAGAGAGAGAGAGAGAGAGAGAGAGAGAGAGAGAGAGAGAGAGAGAGAGAGAAAGAGAGAGAGAGAGAGGACAAATGTTCGTGGTGTTAGGCGGGTTGATTAGTCTTCGTGGTGTAAGGCGT